CTTTGAACAGCGATCCTCAGACCTCAGCCTCCTGAGTAGCTAGGATTACAGGCATGAGCCACTGGCACCTGGCACCCTGAACATTCTTTTTCTGTTTGTTTTGGGGCATGTACTATAGGTTAGATTCAGTGATTATTACTTCATATATATTATTCCCTTTCATCTAACCCCACTCAGTTTTAACAGTGGAAAGTTTTGATGATGAGGAAGATAGTGTTATTCACTCTTTAGAGAAGGACATTGAAATTGTTAGGTAGTTTGAAATCCATCATCTGTGTGCTTGTGAAAGGAAGCTCAGTCATATTAAAATTGTTTACAAGGAAAACCCCCATCCTCTGTAGTTACTGTTTTTTAGAAGGTTCGTTCGGGGTGTGAATGGGGAAAAAGTGAAACTCTGCTTTTCTCTCATCTTCCTTCTTCTGTGGTCCTTGGTTTGTTTCCACTTCCCTTTATTCCTTATTACTTGCTTCCCTCTCTCTGTTCTGTACCCTTTCCAGTTTCCTTTGCAATCTCAACCCATCTTCCCCTTCCACCCCTTTATTTCTCTCTCTCATTTGCTCTCTGTCTCTCTCTCTCTGATATTTTTCCACTTCTTTCTTGATGAGACTTGTGTGTGACCTTGAAGCACGTTATGTTATATTCAGTCCTTAATAACTTAAGCCCAGAGATGGGGTTTGAGTCCTTAAATGTCCCAGGACAAGGTCATGACAGAATCTACACTGGAACCCAAGCTCCCCAAAACAACTGCCTCCCCCCCCCCGCAAGACAGGAGGCCAGAAATACAATACAGCCCAGCAAGGTCTCAGCTACCTTTTCAAAGCAAATATGATGATAATTGAAGTTGACATTTATTGGGAGCTTATACCATTCTGAAGGCTTTACACATTCTAACTCACTTGATTCTTGCAATAACTTAATAAGTAGGCATTGCCATCATCACTACCACCACCACCACCATCATCATCTCCATTTTAAAGGTAGGGAAAAGGATATACAGAAATGTTAGGTGATTTTCCTGAGGTCACACACACACTTAGTAACCCCACAACTGGGACTTAAACCCAGGTGGCTGGCTCTGGGGCTTGGGTCTCAGCTGGCACTCTGTGGTCTCTATGAACAATAGAAGAACAGTCAATATGGTCCCCATTTTCTCCTGGCCACACAGGCTATCCTATGGGACACTGCCATGAGCATCTTACAGGGCTAGCTCAGTAGCTGGCATGTCCTGTCTATAGTACATGCCATGCATGTTCTAGGGCTGGTCACAGGAACCTTGGTTCAGGCAGACTCCATCCACCGTCTCCTTTACTGGAAGTCTATGATAAGCCTGGACTCTTGATGAAAGTGGTTCAACATGAGAAGGATCCTGTCTCTTTCTCTCTGCTCCATTCTCCTGGCAGCTACTAAATTCTCTGGCAAATGACAAGATAGTGGTGGACAGATCCAGGGTCATTTCTAGGAGGGCTGGAGATGTACATAAAACCAGGGTTCAATTAGGAGTAACTAGAGGATAATGGAGGCAGAGAAAGACACTCAGAATCTAGTGCATGTGGATGTATCCATCCATTTTACAAATGAGCAAAAGCCGTAGAGTAATAGCACTTGCCTAGAGCCACAGCTTGCAAATCCCTGATTCAGCTCTAAAACTTGTGCACCTGACTGACTACATCCTGGGTGACTTCCCTGGATAAAATGTGAATCTCAATGGCCATCCCAAACGTAGAAGCAACAGCTCCCTTTCATGAGACGTGCACGGTTCATAAAGCGTGACGGTACCTTAACTTCTGTATTCCTAACAAGCTGAGTAAATTTGGGTTCTTGTTCTAGCAACACCATTGGCTCAGGATTTGTTGTGTGACAAATTTCTTTCCCTTCAGAGCCTCTGTTTCCTCCCTTAAGGGTAATAATACCTTCTGGACCTCCCAGGACTGGCCAACACAGAATGTCAATGAGGCGCTGGCAATGAGTACCTGGGAGGCTGCGACTGGTGGAGGATGTAGTGTGCTTTAGTAGATGCCAGATTTTGGAATCAGGCTCCAAAGGCCAAGTCTTTATTCTGCCCTCGAGTGGTGAGACCTTGCCATTGTATAGACATGGACAGCACCAGCTCCACACATTTGTTAGTCAGGTCACATGTGTCCACGGGAGATGCCTGATGAACACTTAATTACTTTTCCTATTATCTTTATATGGAATGTAGCATTGGGTAGAAGGAGAGCTTGGGAAAGAGAAAGAAAGAAAGGGAGAAAGAGAGGGAGACAGGAGGGGGGTAGGGGAAGTGAGCAGGCTGCGGAAATGATAAGAATTGCTTGTGCTTTGCCGCCCCCAGGTGGCCATTTCAAGGTAGAAAGGACTGTCTTTAATAGTCTTGGAATAGGGGCTGGACTCCTCCTGGGTATGTTCTAATTCAGCAGCTGCAATCTGCTGCTGAATCTTCTACAGAGAAGTTGTAGTCTTAGTTTCACCAGGCACTAGTGGTCAGCTACACTGGGGAACCATTGAGCTAGTCCATTTCCCTCATTAGGCAAATGACAACTATAGACCCAAATAAATAGGGCTTCTCTTGAGAGCAGCTACCAGGATAGGTGCATGGCTTCAGGTTTCCAGATCCCAGTGATCTTTCCAATATTTCCTCTTCCTGAAACACCCCCTGCCAAATTCACAAAGCTGCAGAGACACCAGGACCTTCCTGTCAATCGTGGCGGGACTTCCATGTCTGTACTTCCATGGGGATGGCAATGGAGGACTCAGAAAGCAAGCAGCCTGGGACCTCCAGGACAATTCCCTTGTTACAGGGTCCACAGGAGAGCTGGCTTGGCTTTTGGAGACCGAGATGCTCCATCCTGTGATACCTGTGAGGATTATACAGGCTGGCAGACAGAGCTGGGAGGACCATGAAGACTGAGGGCTTCCTAATGGCCAGAGCTCTCTTCACACATTGCCCCCTGCAATCCTGCAAAACAGATGGGGCATTATGGTAAACGTTCCTAATAGTTGGTTGGTGTAGGTGTCTTGGTAGACCAAGAGGTCTTCAGCGATTTTAAGCAGATGTGAATACCACACAAAGCCGTTAAAAACTGTCATCTTAAATACTACAACTTAACATCTTTTTATGGAGACTATATAATTAAGACAAAAACATTGTGGCTTTCTGACTTAGATATACTTCATTGATTTTGTAAGAAATTTGTAAACTTTGATTTAAACAAAGTATACTTCAATATGTTAATCATACAGTAAAATGTTTGTTGAAAGGCAGCTTATTTGTTTAGAAGGCTTTTTTTCCACCAAAGATGTAATTCCTTATGATAAAGAATTGCATAGTCAGCATTAATAACAATAAAAACCACATCGATATTTTAAGTGGAATTGCATCAAATCTACAGTCCTTATAGTGGGAGAAAGAGTTATCTTCACATCAAAAATTTAAAACTTACAAAACTACTTTTCTCCATTTACTTGGATTGTGTGTGTGTGTTGCAGATACTGGAGCTTGAATTTTGAGTCTTGAACTCTTCCTCGGTTTTTCACTCAATGGTGGTATTCTACTACTTGAGCTATTCCTCCAGCCCTACTTTTCTGCTTCTTATTTTGGTGAAGAGTATCAAGAGACTTTTCTGCTGGACCTGGTTTCAAATCACAGTCTTCTGGATTTCGGCTTCCTACCTAGAATTACAGGTGTGAGCCACTGTCACCCAGCTGCTATTAAATTTATTTCCAATAATTTTCCTATAATTCAACTGAATTTGTCTGAAAGTTTGCTGAGTTTAATTTCTTTCTTTGCAAACCTCAAAATTAACTTGTCTTGCTTCTGTGCTTTGACTAAAATATCTACCATCTCTACACCTTACATGGTAAAAAGAGGCATCTTCATCTGACTGCTAATCTGAAACAGGAATCAACTCTATATTTGACTATTCAAAAAGATGCTTTCTATAATCCTTGCTTTTAAATATTCCTTTTGTATGTGAGACATACATGCTGATTGCAGCCTTGTGAAGACTCCCAGGGCAGAGAAACCAGCCAATGCTGCTGGCCTCCAAGCCCACAGGAACTCTGAGAAAATAGTGCTTTAAGCTGCTCCCTTCTGGGGCAATTTTGTTATAGCAAGTGATAACGAATACAGAGGGGATGTAAAATTCTCCACTTAAAGTCCACCCTTAAGCAGCTTATAGCAGAAAGAGCTTGGGTGTCAGAACCAAATAAGCAGAGAATCCCATATCTACTGGATAGGATCTACTGTTTAAACATTACTTGGATTTTTACTTACCTGTGAAATTGAGAGGCTATCCACTTGTCAGGGGTGCTGTGATTCCATGTGGAATTCCATGTGAAATTTTTTGTACAATTTTTTGTACCACCACTTTAATGCATAATTCCCTTCCTTCCCTTTTTCTTCAGTCATCTAGCCTATCCTGTTTGTGTGTACAAATCCTATTTCTAGGACATATCAGAATATATCCTAGAATAGATATTCTAATATGTCCCACAGCTTATTATGCGTTGATGTTCTACAATTATGATTTAATATACATTTTATAGAGCTACAAGAGAGATTTAATGTTTCTAACATAAAGAAATTATGAATGTTGAAGGAGAAATGCCAATTACCCTGATTTTGTTATAATTCATTGTATAGGTGTATTAAATTCTCACACTGTATTCCACACATAGGTAGAATTAGAAAACATAATTATGGATGAAAATAACCGTATAAAATGTGAATCTCAATGGCCATCCCAAACGTAGAAGCAACAGCTCCCTTTCGTGAGACGTGCACGGTTCATAAAGCGTGACAGTACCTTAACTTCTGTATTCCTAACAAGCTGAGTAAAGAACAACTTCTAGGAGACACTGCCTGGAAGGGAAATGTTGACAACATTCTGGCAAAGATTGTTTTGCAAATGTTTGCTGCCTCCAGACAAGAACAACTTCCTCTTGGCAGGATGTTAAACTCCAAAGAGCTCTTGTTCTAGCACAGACAAGCCAAACCACTCATCTGAATAAATAAGCATCAATTTTATTGAATCATGAATAATTTAAGACTGGTACAATCATCAGCTTTATTCTCTATGAAGTGGGGCATGATCTCCAGCAGACCATTGGCAAATCCAAAACCTCATGACCAATGAAAATTAAATAGGAAGGAAGGGAAGGTGGGAAGAAGGGAAGATGGAGACATACCGTACACAAAATACTCAATTCCTAGTTTTCTCTTTAAAAATGGCTAGAAAAAATTCATCAAAATGCAGCACTTTAATCAATTATTTACAATTTCTATGTTACAATGAAAAATGTACATCTTATAGAACATATTTCATAAACTGCTCCACTGGAAACAACTAGGTCAAAACAGCAAACCTTCCATTCAATATCAATGAAGTTGGATTATTTTTCCTTTTGAAGTAGATTCGCCTCCATCAAATTTGAATACACAGAATTTTGAAGAAATAAAAAAATGTCTTCAAGACACAACGAAGGTCTGGGCAAGTCTTCCTCCTTATTCTACCCCTACCCCACCCCCCCAACCCTAAAATTAAAAAGATCTTTCCCCATCTCATTTATGGCCTGTATAATTGTTGGCAGTTTGGGGAAAGGAGAGAGAGAACAACAACAACAACAACAACAACTTTTGGCTTCCATCAGTAACGCCACATAAACGTTGCATAGAATTTCATACATTTCAACATTAGCCTAACTGTAGAAAAAGGCAAATGGAAGCATTTCAAACAGAACTCTAAATGAGTACAGAGTCACTTTGTCAAAGATGAGTGACACTAAAGAAAAAAAAATAGGGTCAAATAAAAAATAGGCATATTAGGCAACCCTGCTCCCTAAAACCTTAGGGAGGAAGCAGAGCTGTGATTGGCACAAGCCTGTGCCACTTGAGTCACTGTTCACCTATCAGGAAGCACCAGGACCCAGGGGGAGGAAGTCTGGGAATTGGGAGAGGGAAGGATATCATTAAAAAAAAAAAATCAACCACTATTGGCAGTCAAAGGGGACTGGGAAAAAACTGCCCACAAGGAAGTCAATTTTACCTCCTCCCAAATTCACAGTATGAGGGGGTAAGATCATGGCTGGGAGACAGACTGAGAAGAGCCACGCTGTAGGGTTACCTGAAGGCTTTGGGTGTGGTCCCTCCAATCATAGGCTAACTATATGCCTTAAGAATTGTATTAAAAACCAAAACAGAACAAGACACACTCACACCCAGGTGAGTCATGAAAGCTGAGCTGGAGAGTGGGTTCACAATTTGAGCTGGGGCCGTATTGAAAGGTTTTCTATTCACCAGTTAAGGAGACACATCCTGGGTTCCTTTCAGAGGGAGGATCTGGTGCCATTCCAAGTGGGGTGGGCAGTTTCAGGTCAAGCTCTTATGCTAAGAAATAAAAATGCGGAGACAAATCTTCTGAAATGGAAAATTCAACGGATAGAATAAAAAACCCTGATCATTAACAGACTCCCTCACTAGGGCCTGATAAAGATTCTCTTTAGAAAACAGAAATAAACAACTGAAAGGTGTATACACTCAGTAAAGCAAACACCAGAATGTTGAAGACACAGCAGATTGGGTTTCTGTTAGGGCAATGGGTCATGTGGATTTGTAGGAACTTTTGCCTTTTCCTGCATGAGACACACTACTGTCCAGTCAGGTAGTTAGCTGGAGAAATGACAAAAACTTTAAAAAAAAAAAAAAAAGTCTTTTTTTTTTTTCCTTTTTCTTTTTCCCATGGTCACGCATCCGCACAGATGAATCTTTTGGATGAGAAATCACAGCAACAACTTGAGTTCTTATGAACAGATGACTTTTTAGCCCTGTTTGCTTTGATGGGGAAAACATAATACACACACACCCCTACACACACACACACACACACACACACACACCAACCCCAGGCAGGCACAACACTCATGTGAATGAACACGGTGAGTACAAAACCAGTAAGGCATCGCTTTGGGAAGGTCAGCACCGAAGAGGTCAGGCAAGGCTCGTCAGGACGGAGGGCAGGGCTGGACTTCCGGGAGGGAATGGCCACCCTCCCTTACTGAGCTGCGCCATGTTGGTTCTGAAGAAAGTGCAAGTCTTTTGCAAGGTGACCTCACCACCCCGCCTAAAACTGGGGCTGAGGAGCTTGAGGCCAAGTGCATTCTCAGCCCTCAAAAGACGAGAAGGAAAGGCAAGGTCTGTGGCTCACCCACATGAGGACCAGTCCTCATCCATTTGAAAGGACACAAATATCCCTGGCCCCAGCAAGAGGAGGGGAGGGTGTAGGACTGAGAAGATGGACAACTAAAAACCAAAACTTACCAGGACCAAACCAAAACTCAACTCCTAGGGCTCTTACTTTCACCAAAGGATTGATTCTGATCAAGGTGGGGATTAGGGGATGGAGGGGTGGGAAGGTCTTCAAAAGCAATGAGTCAGAAAGGAGGGAACTCAACTCTATTTTAAAGGGGTAAGCAGTTCTCGCCAGAAGAACTGTTTTCACTACACACAGTGTTTGAAGAAACAAAATTTGATTCATTTAGACATAATCAAGGAAACAGAAGCAGCTCACTCACTCACATTCTCACTTGTTCACGCATTCTCACTGACCATCCCGGGCTGATGGGGCCCGAGAGTGGGGACTGAATTGGAACAGGTAAAATGCCTCTCAGGGAAGGAGAGCACCATTTATAAAAACAGAAAAGCACGATGTATTTTCTCTTAAGGTTTCTCTAGGGCACAGCTCTGCATTGTGTTGAGAGTGTCCAAGGCCAATGCCCTCGTTAGCACCAGTTCTTCTGTGCATAAAGGTGTGACTGTGAGGTGCTGGTCTTGAGATCCAGGCTAGAGGGTCTGAGCTGAGGGGAAGCTGTGCTGTCTTCATTTCCAACTTTGTTTCAGTCTTCTGAAAGCTCTTGGTAGGATGCTGTTTGGTTTCAGTGCCCCGAGTGGATTCTTAAAAAAAAAAAAAAAAAAACCAAAACCAAAACCAAAACCCTTCATTCCATTTCTTTTTTCATTTCATCAGTGATGTTCCTTTCCCGAGAAGTATTTTCAGTGTCTTAGGGAGGTCATAGCAACAAGGCAAACAAGAACGAAAGTAAAATGGGAGCTAGTGCAGTTCTCGCTGTGGGAGGAAATGGTCCCCGGGGTGGCTGGCCTGGGATACTAAGGGATGAGGGGTCTTGAAACTGCTGCAACTCGGAGGTTGCGGGCTGGGGGCTGGCTCAGGAAGTCATCTTCAGGATGATGTAGAGGATGCATGTGGAATGGGGTGAGGAGAAGAGGTGGGCAGGCTCTGTTAGCTGGGCCTTTGTCACAGCGTGGACTCCAAGGATGAATCCAGGATGTCGTCGTGATGACTGTTGCTGTTGGAGTCGCTGTCATAGCTCTGGGGGCTGGAGTAGTTGGCTGCCTCCTGCAGCCTCATCAGCATGTTCATCTGAGGAAAGAGCAGAGGAGGTGTGAATGGCTCTGCTGCCCTCCTGGCCTCTGGGAGGCCCATGCCAGTTCCTTCAGGACTGCTTTGAGATGGCAGCCCATAAGAGACAAGAACATGAAGTTTGATCAGACTCCTAGGGTTCAAATCCTGGTTTCTCCACATATTAGCTGCACACCTTTGGGTAAGCTACTTAACCTTCTGTGTGTTCACCGGTCAGACATTAAGCACTAGCTAATACCTGTCATATAACTTCATAGCATGGATTGAGTTACTATAGGTAGAACACCAAAGACAAAACAGGAAGTCCTGTACAAGGATTACATTTTATTCTTTTTTTAGAGATGGGTTTGCCTTTATCCAGCTGTAGCCCTTGACCTGCACACAGAGGTCGTTGGAATGTCCTTGCACCAATGTCACTGAAGATACAGAAAGTGCATCCGTGTCCCACCCCCGGGACAGGCAGGAAGTCCATCTGGACTCCTGGCTCTGGCCAGAATTAGTCTGGAGCCAAATGTGCTCCAGCTATTTCCAAAGCCTTCACTGGAGCCTCAGAGTTTAATAAAGGCCGGGATGACAACTCAGTTCTCTGAAGTATTTGAGCCACCGTTCCCACCTGTGAAGAATGGGAAGACCACAGCACCTAGCATGTGCACAGCTGAAGGAATGAAATGACACAATATGTATTAAAGCCTTAGGAATGAGGCTGCCTGGTAAGAGCAATGCGTCACAAATGTGATTGGATGCCATCTTTACCTAACTTGGTCTGCATTCTCTGAGATCGGTCATTTGTTGGACAATATAGAGGAAAAAAATGAAACACTTCTTTTGCTTCTAAGTGGTGTGTGTGTGTGTGTGTTGTATTTCTTATAGCAGGTATGACTCTTTTCTGTTAGGAAGACAGTCTTTCTAGGCTTAGGAGACTCTCTGGGCTAAGAGACTGAGATTGGTACAGTTGTGTATGAAGTCAGCTACCTCTCAGGATACTATTTGGTCTCTCTGGGGAGCCAGGCCAGAAGCTGTCCATGTACACAGCTATCACAAGGGATGGGAGTGAAGTACAATGGACAATCCTTGGCAGCCCGGATCCGTTTTTCACCTATCAAGCATTCCTGGTGGTACAGCACATGGTTCTGGAACATAACCAAGTCAGTCCCATTCTCATAGAGGTCCCAGTCTTGTGACGGAGCAGATTAGTAAAGAGCTACTAAAAAGATTGGTAAAGGAGAACTATTATGATAGAAACCCACAGCCCTGGGAAGAGGCAACGAGATTTGGAGAGATACCAAATATGTTACTTGGTAACTAGGGGTGGTTAAACTGACACAGCTCACTTCCAGGAGCTGGGGGTTGGAACAGGAATTGTGGGTGACCATCCAGAGAATTCTAGGTCTTGCATAAGTCCCTTCTCAGTTCAAACAGTGATACAGATATTCCTGAGTAAGGAAAAACAGGATAGAAAAGCGCTGGCCATTCTTTTCTCTAGACATCCTAGGTGCTACTTTTATGTAAATTAAGACTTCATGTGCTTACCCACACCCAAAACACCCCCATGACCTAAGCCTTTAGTGGTGGTTCCATTAGAAATGGCTGTTAAAGTCTGACTTTCCTTCTAGAAAGCTACTCTTGTAAACACTGTAAACTGGTTGTACATAGTACCACACCATCACTAAGTCCTAGTTTACATCCTCAACAGGACCATAGCTCAACTGTACCACTCAGCAGCCTGGCAGACAGCCTGTATCAAGTATCACCTGTTATTATTTTTATCTTGCAAATCACCTGGCCATTAGGGATAGAACAGCAAGTTAGTTGTCTTTTAATCCTGCTGCAGTTCTTATGAATATCTTCTTTCATTAGGGGTATAAATAATATTCTTTGCTGTGTTTTCCCTTTTGCTTTAGCTGCCAAGGAAGCTTGAGGCTAAATTGCAGGCATAATGATGGTCATTCAACTGTGGGAGGTTTGGGTAGATTCACTTCCTCCTTATTTTATAAGGGTTTTGGTTGGTTTGTTCTAACTTGGCAGAATGAGTATGTATGAGTCTTTTATTGGTAGAGAATTAGAGAATTGTTTTGAGATGTTATCATCCCTGTCTGGGCATTTTTCAAAGGGCCACCTTTGCTTTAGCAGTGGTAGGGAGGTTATAAAGCTCAAGCCCATTTCAGGGGATGTAGATTCAGGCTCCTGACCCTCCACGGGCACTCCTGCTCTTGACCTCTCTCTGTCTTGCTCCTCCTTGTTGTCTTGAGCTTCTGGTTGTTCCTCTGTTCAGCTTTCAATACGAGACATAAGAAAAACCACACAGCCCATGATAATGGTGACATCCCACATTAGAGAGCAAATAATGCAGTTACAGTAGAGATGATAGGTACAGGCACATTTAAAGTGAAAAAAAGAAATCACACTCTTTAACATTTTATAAGAAAACAATTCAAGGTTAAATGCTTTAGTGCAAAAGTAAATCCATGGAAGAAAACATTTGACAAAAATGTCCCTAGGTTTGGGGTGGGGCCTGCCTTCCAAAGCAAGGCCAAGTGTACTTACTTTCATATTTTCAAAGTGCCCTGAGTCACGTTCTGCTGAACGTATGGGAAGTGCTCAATGAGTGCTGAGCTGAGAACTCACCAGCGGGTCTCCTTCAGCATCGCTAGGGGGCACCTGCTTGCTTGTGGACCCCTCCCGAGGCACAGAGTAGCCATCAAAGCCGACATCCTCAGGCCGTAGCTGCAACAGGGGAGGCCACTCATGCTGCTGTGGGCTGGCTGCCCATGGGTAGGTGTCCATCACCCACTTGGCAGGATCCTCCCAGGGGGCACGCCTTCCGTAGAGCTGAAAATAGACAAGAAACAGTCTAGAAGCAGGCCTCGTTTGACAGCTTTCTGGAAAATTCTCCCAATGTCAGCATTATACCTTGCTGAGAATCTTACCCTAAGCAAGTCACTCAAGATGCAGATTAACTCACACAGCAAGAACTAGGACCCAGGACCGAGCGGTCGAGGACAGGGGTTCTGGGGAGACCAGCTGAGCTGAGCTTGCTCTCAGCTAGTCCAAGTTGAAAATTTGCTCCAAGGACAAAAGGAACAATCCCATTTAAAGCATTTGCCAATTTCCATGGTGTATACTCTCACCATGGCTGGTTTCAAGCTACCAACATGAAATCACTAAACACAGAATTGGAAAGAGGTGCTCATGATCAGTTTGCACAAGCCAGCCCTAGAACTCCACTGTGTGCATCCACCCGGATTGAGCTACCTAAATTGGGTGCTTGGCATCAATATGGCCAGCAGGGGTCACCAATGAACTCAAAATCAATGAAGCCACATTTCTTAAAGTGGGTCTGACTCTCAGAGCCTCTCTATAGCAATGTGGGTCCCTTCAAAAGAGCTAATTTCTGGTAGAGAAGGTTGTATGTGGGCAGTGGAATTGCAAATGCTTCTCTCTATCATCTATTTTTCAAAATTAGCCATAATAACTAATTTGGTCTTAAAACAGTAAATGATCACTTAATTTTATAAAACCAATATATGTGAAGAGAGAGAGAAGAGACAGAAGTACTTATGACAGAGCTGGGCTGTGAATCAATGAAATGAGATGTTTCTGAGTCTGAGGCTGCCTCAGTTGGAAAGAGCTGGAGATATCTAAGGAGCAAAGCCAGTAGCTCTGGATTTGAACCCAGGATTAGCTTCCTTCTCTGGCCCTGCTGTGTATCAGCCAGAGACAGGGGACTCAACCAGACCTCAAGCGGGAGATCAGCGCAGTCTGCGCTAGGCTCACCATTCCTTCCAGATGGTCCAATTTCCCCACCCAGACCTTTGTGTCTGATTTTTGTATTAAATGCCATTCAGCCTGCCTAGCTCTCTGTCCTAATGGCTGCCTCCTCCTCTCAAGAGCCTCCTATGACCTCATCACTGTCTGGTGTGCTGTGTCTGCTACTGTGTCTTCCTTAACCTGGGGCAATGGTGAGTCTCAGGTTTGGGAACTCAGCTTGGCAACCTAAGCAAAACTCATAGTCTGCTCAGGAAAAAAGAGCATGAGAAGGAGGTGTATATGCCACTGGACATGTCTGAGTCCAGGTGATGAATGGCTGAATAAGTACTGTGGCAAGCAAAGAAAATACCATGAAGTTCCTTGGCTCTACTGCAGAGCCCTCAGGGCAGCAGCAGCAGAGACAACTGGCTAGACAGACAGATGGAACACTCACTTTCCCCAAGGCAGGAGAGGAGCCTGGTATCCCCACTGGGTTGGGAAGAATGGGAAGAGGAAGACAAGGAGCCAAGGCTTTGGAAACTAAAAATAAGGCCACTGTGAGCCTTCTGACCCTATGGGGGTCAGACGCACACAAGTATCAGAGTACACAGACAGACAGACAGACACACCACACACACACACCACACCACACACACACGCACGCACACACACACACACACGCAACACACACGCACACACACACGCTTGTACTAGGCAAGAAACCTGAACTTGCAAAACTATCTAGTATCCACTAGGGGGCGATGCCACATTTCCTCCAGGCATGGAGATGGGCTATCCATGTAACAATTTGACTGGGATCACAGATAATATGGGTTTAAGCCGGGCAGCATTGGCAACCAACTCTTCCTACACTATACTGTACTAGACTGGTGACCACACAGCCACACAGGTGATGGCAACCTCCCCCCACACTCCCATGTCAGTCAGGTTCTGGAATAAGAGAGAAAACAATACCTTCTCTAGTCACTAGAAAAGTCCTCTGCAACTCTGAGAAAACCAACAGGTGTGTGCATCTCACCTGGAGTCCTTCTCTGACAGCTTCCAGAAGATAGGGGATGATGGAGTAGTTCCACAAATCAGTGAACCACACTCTAGAGCCATCCACATCAATGGGGCACGAGAGGAAGAGCCGGGGGCCTGGGGACCATAGTGAAAATGTGTCAGAACTGAAAGTGAGTAGAGAATAGAAAGGCCAGAAGAAACCCTGGTCTGAATACCACTCACCACAGGGACCCTGGATTTTCTGAGCAACGGCAGGGCTGATGGCAGAAATACCAGCTGCCAGCTGTTGGGCATGGAGTGGGACCTTCTGATTCCCTCATCTTGCCTCTCAACAAATGTACCCAAAAGAAAGGATATT